GTCTTGAAGTACAATTTCATCATATTACATGACATGAGCTAGGTCCGGGTGGTACTTTTTTAGTTGGGAGACATAGAAGACATGATGTGTCTAACTCAAATTTAGGGAAAGGGCCAATTTGTAAGCTACTACTCTAGCTTTGGAAAGAATTTGGAATGGTCCAACGTACTTCAAATTTAGCTTTTTAGTCTTTAAAGATCGACTGACTCTGGTAGTTGGAGACACTTTGAGGAATACATGATCTCCAACATTAAACCATAATGGTCTCCTTCTATTATTTGCATATCTCTTCTATCTACTTTGAGCTGTTAGGAGTCTTTGTCTGATAGTCTCAATCTGCTTAGAGGTCTGATCCATTAAGTCAAGACCATACATCTATCCAAATCCTCGCCATTGTCATCTTCACTCTCTTGAGCCTTAAGAGCAATGTGTCACACCTCTCTTTATAACCCATAATATGTCAATTGGAACTATTATAATGTGTTTCGCAGCATTTCCGGATGAAAGATTTCAACTTTAAAATGTTGCCTTTAATTCTGTCCGTACACTATTCATCCAAAATGGGTCAACTTTGAAAATTCATAACTAATTCTAGAAAACTAAAAACGAGGTGATTCTAATTTTCACACAAAGTTTGTTAAGATTTCTATAGATAAAAAATATTCATTGGACTCAATTACATTCAAAACCGCACCAGAAAATCCACAATATGCACTATTCATATGGTAAATTTTCGAATTTCTAGTATTTTTGCCCAACTTTGGAGGGGCATAACTCTTAGCACAAAAATCCAAATTTGATGACTTACCACTTCTTTTAAAGATAAAAATAAGATCTATAATACTGTAAAATTTCATGCCCAAATTCTAACAATTGCTTATTATTTCATGTGCCACAAAATTAGCACTATTTAGGGAGATTTTATCCCATTTTCTTTAATTTATCTCCCATTTTCCTTTTTAACATTGCACCATTCATAATTTTAGCATGAGGCCATGTCATGCAAACATAATTCACGTTACATATCATTTATAATTCATTACATTCTCAACATAAGGTTCATTATTACATTTCATAGCATAACATAATACCATCAATTCTATAACGCTCCTCTATCTCAAAATTATTTCCTTGCCCTTGCCATCGGATGACTCATTCCCTATTAAAACATATTTTAATATAGGAGGAATGAGATTTCAAAGAAATCTCAGTAACATATGAATTATAATTGTCATGTAAATCAAGCAACTTCATATGTGACATATTATCAAACCTCAAAGGCATAATCAAACCACATAAAGCCATGTGTAATGCCATGCTAGGAGAGGAACATCAACACTTCCACATTAACACAGTTCAATGCATTTGGCCAAAACATACACCAAGGTTATCCAACCAATCAATATCACTACACAAGTTCCTCAATCTAAGCAAACAATAAATCACATTAAATAAGCAAGATAAACAATCAAATAATAATTCAAAGCTACCTTTTAACACTTGTCCAATTGGTTACTTCAAGAACAAAGCTTCCTCTTGGTTCCTTGTCACAATGCCTATTAAACCAAGCATAAACATAGGCAACATTAATTCCTAAATCACTTAAATACAACTCTTCAACTTTAACTCAATAATTCCTCCTTTTTCTTTGATTTTTAACCATATGATTCCTCTTTTAGAATCAATAACCTCATTGCTCAATCCTATATAATTTTTCATGAGGAATCCAATGGTGCAATCAGATTTTTAAAATTCAAACTCCTCCCCCATGAACCGTGACTGGCCGAATAGGGGTTATATATTTCTAAAAATTCTATTTTTGATTCCAATGATTTTAAACACTTCCCAATAACATATCCCTACACAAAAACATGTTTTAAAGCCATTGGAATCATCAAATCAAGCCAAAACAATCAGCCCCTGTATGAACAGTGCTGACCGAAATTCCTCCCATTAAACCCTAACTTTGATTTCATCCAAAAATCCATCCACTCTTCCTTATTCCACTTGATTATTCCTAAGCATCACAAGGCCTAGTGAAATTTTGGTAGTATTTTCCTTAATTTTTCAAGCTAAAAACCTCAACCAAAATAATGTAAAACTTAGGGATAAGGAGGCTCAGACATACCTTTATGTTCTCTTAATAAAAATTGAGTGATTCCTTGCCCAAAACACTTAGAAATTTCAGTTGGTGGTTGCTGGAAGCAAAATGGCAGAACCTCCCCTTGTTTTTCTATTTTTCCAACATTTTTTTGTATTTTCCAAGGGGGTATTTATAGAAAAATTCCATCTACCCTTACCCCTCCATGTTTGGACGAAATTGGATACCTCAAGGGGTGTATGTGGCAGTAATCAAGTGCCAAAATAATCAGATCACTCCAAGTGACCTCAATCTAGACTATTCCACACAAATATCCCTTAATTTTGTATTTATTTAATTAAAAATAGAGGGACCTGGAAACTGCAGAAAATTAGGCCCTTATTGAGCTTAATGTGGGCCTCACAAAAGATTTGGGCTGGTCCAAATAGCTGGCCCACAAATCAAATCACTATCTCAAACTAATTTGAAATTTTATCGGTTACTATTCACTAGTAACATTCCATAATTTTGCCAGACCTCCAAAAATTCATTTCTCTCCATGATAATTAAAAATTTAATATGACAACATGATTTGAAAATTTTCAGAATTTTTTTCCACCTCTATATATTTATTTTGAATTTTCTCCAATTAAGCCTTTATCGGTGTCATTGCGAGAAAATAAATTCTCTAAAATTAATTCCTAAGTTTTCAAGACCTAAAACCAATTTTATAAATTTAAATAAATATTTATATGAATTATTCATCTTTCTCCCAAATTTATTGAGGCCTACGACTATTTAAAATAATTATTTCCTTCAATTTCCTGATATTTTCTCGCAAAACCTCTATTTACGAGAACTTTCGTATTAATTTGCTTTCATTGAAATTTTGCCTTTTGGCCCTCAACTGAGTTTTCAAAACTTTTAATTTATAATTTTCTCATTTTTTGAGAATTTTCTAGAATTTTTCTCAAATTTTCTCATTTTACCCTTCCTAGACTGGTGGTTATAAAAATGCCAGTCCGGACCTTTTCGAAGTTTCACATCAAAAGTTGTTTCATTTTCCTGTCTAGTTCCTACATTGACCCTCATCCCAATTTTGAATCCTTTATAGCCAGGTGAAAATTTTTGGGATGTGACAATTCTTACCCCTTTTAAATAAATTTCATCCTCAAAATTTAAAAACATACCTTAGTTAAACAGTTTTGGATATCTAGCCTTCATGTCATCTTCCTTTTCCCATGTAGCCTCCTCTTGAGTTAGATCCCTCCAGATGACTTTGACCATCAGAATAGCTTTATTCCGAAACTACTTAATTTACCGATCTGTTACTTTTACCAGTTTTACCTCAAAGGTGAGGTTATCTCGCAGCTCTATGTCTTCATATTTTAAGACATGTAAGGGATCCAGCTGATATTTCTTCAATTGAGAAATATGGAAGATGTCATGAATTTGGCTCAGATTAGGAGGTAAGGCCAATCTGTAAGCTACTAGGCCAACTCTTGATAAGATATGGAAGGGTCTGATAAATTTCGGCATTAATTTATGGGCCTTGATCAATCTTCCTACACCCGTAGTTGGAGAAACTTTCAGGAAAACATGATCTCCAACTTCAAACTCCAAAGGCCTTCTCCATACGTCAGCATAACTCTTTTGTCTACTTTGTACTGTAAGCAGCCCCTATCGAATCATCTTCATCTGCTGTGAGGTTTGCTCTACCAAGTCGGGACCAAATGTCTTCCTTTCTCCCAACTTAGTCCAACACAATGGGGATCTACATTTCCTCCTGTACAAAGCTTCATAAGGAGCCATTTGGATATTAGAATGATAATTATTGTTATAGGCGAACTCCGCCAGTGGTAAGTATTCATCCCAGTTCCCTTTGAAATCTAGGACACAAGTTCTTAGCATATCCTCTAACATTTGAATAGTATATTTTGTCTGCCCCTCAGTCTGAGAGTGATAAGCTGTATTGAAACTTAGCTTAATGTCCATGGCTTTCTATAACACTATAAAATCTAGACAAAAATCTCAGCTCCCTATCAGAGATAATCGTCTTAAGTAGTCCGTGCAACCTCATAATTTCCTGAATATATATCCACGCCAACTTTTCCAGTTGGTATTCTTTCTTGATGGCCAAGAAATGATCTGACTTCATTAGGCGATCTATAATCACCCATATCACGTCGTAACCTGATGATGTACGAGGTAGTCCCATTACAAAGTCCATAGAAATGCTTTCCCATTTCCATTCCGGAATACTCAATGGTTGTAGGAATCCTGACAGCTTTTGGTGTACTGTCTTTACTTTTTGACAAGTGAGGCACTTGGACACGTAGTCTGTCACATCTTTCTTCATACCAGGTCACCAGAACGATTCTTTAAGATCTCAGTACATCTTAGTCATGCTTGGATGTATGGTATACTGACTCTTGTATGCCTCCTCCAAGATTTTCTTCTTAACTTCTGAATTCGGGGGAATGTAAGTTCTTCCTTTATATTTTAGGATCCCTTCCTAAGTTATCTCAAAATCCCTCATCTCATTTCTCAGCACTTTGTGTTTCTTGATTTGTTCACTCTATGAGGCCTTCTTGATTTTTTCAGTGATTTGCGTTTCCACTTTTACAATACTGATTTGGCCCATCATCAGCTGTATCTGGCCGGTGAGATTCCAATCTCAGATATTTTCGATCAACTCTTGTTCCTTTATCATCAATGATGCCACCTGCACTATCTTCCGTCTTAATGCATCTGCTACTACTTTTGCTTTCCCTATATTGTATTTAATTTGATAGTCGTAATCCTTGAGCAACTCCATCCATCTCCTCTGTCTCATGTTAAGTTCTTTCTAATCTTGCAGGTACTTGAGGCTCTTATAATCACAATACAATTCGATGGTTGCCCTATATAGATAATGCCTCTAGATCTTCAAGGCATAGACAATCGCTGCCAGCTCAAGATCGTGTGTGGGATAGTTCTCCTCATGAGTCTTTAACTGTCGTGAGGCATAAGCGACCACTCGACCCTGCTGCATTAGCATACATCCCAATCCCTGCTTACTTGCATCTATATATACCACATAAGGTAACGTAGGATCAGGCATTATCAGCACAAGAGTCGAGGTCAACTTCTGCTTTAACTCTTGAAAGCTCACTTCACACTTTACATCCCACTCAAACGGTTGATTCTTCCAAATGAGCTTGGTCAGCAGTAGGGCAATCCGTGAGAAATCCCGTATAAACCTCCTGTAGTACTGTGCGAGTCCCAGAAAACTTCTCACCTCAGTTACCATCTTGGGCCATTCCCAGTTCAACATGGCCTCTACCTTGCTTAGGTCTACTGCTACTCCATCTCGGGTAATCACATAACCCAAGAACTTTATCTCATTTAGCCAAAACTCACATTTGCTCAATTTGGCATACAGTTGCTTTTCCACAACGTGCCTAATACAATCCGCAAATGCCATTCATGCTCCTTTGGTGACTTAGAATACATCAGGATATCATCAATGAATACCACTACAAATTGATCTAAATATGGCCAAAAAATCCTACCATATAGTCCATAAATATAGCAGGTGCGTTCATCAAACTAAAAGGTATCACCAGAAATTCGTAATGCCCATACCTTGTTCAAAAAGCGGTCTTCGGGATATCTTCTGCCTTTAATCCTCAACTGATGGTATCCCGATCTCAAATTGATCTTTAAGAATACAGTGGCTCGTGCCAGCTAATCTAGCAAATTGTCAATCCGTGGTAACAGGTACTTGTTCTTGATAGTCACTTTATTCAATTCATGATAGTCTATACATAGTCTCAAGTTACCGCCTTTCTTTTTCACAAATAACACTGGTGCACCCCACAAAGATACATTGGGGTGTATGAACCCTTTCTCCAAGAGCTCCTCTAGTTGCTTCTTTAGTTCTGCCATTTCATTTAGAGCTATCTGATACAGAGCCTCTGAAATCTAGTTTGTTCTAGGCACCAGATTAATAATAAATTCAATCTCCCTTTCAAGGGGTAATTTGCTAATCTCTGTCAGAAATACCTTAGAGAATTCCTGGACCATCGGGATATCCAAAATTTCTTCTTTTAGTTTCTACTTTCATCGAGAAAAACACCTTATAACCCTAGCAACCCTGTCTCAACCATTTATCTACTTAAGCCGCTAAAATCACGTCTAGTTTCACTTCCTCTACAGGGGTTAACTCTCGTAGGAAGGATTAGCATTTTATTTTTACAATCAAGAGGACATTTTAGGAGAACAACTAGTTCAAACCAAGGACAATATCAATATCACAGAAAGGCATGCATATCAGGTCTAACATAGTGCAAAAGTGGGCATATTGGACAATGCAGTTTAAACAAATAGCAGAAGTTAAAATTTTCATTCTCGTGGGAGGGGGAACACACAAATCATATAGTAATGTGTCGACAGTAAGACCTAAGTGCCTAGTGCAATCATACAATATAAATGAGCGGCTGGTACTCGAGTAAAAAAAAGCATCCACAAGGTAGCCATTCACAGTAACCGTACCTTGGATAATCTCAGGTGACTTACAAGCCTCTTCCCGGCTGAGGGTGAACACCTTGCCTTGTGCCTTAGGTCTTCCCATGTTGTCGGCACCTTGCAGGCACTCCCTAGCAAAGTGTCTGGGTCATCTACACTTGAAGCACAAGCTTTAACCCATCATGTACGGGCTGTCTCGTGATTACGGCCACAGCGCTCGCATTCCCTTCTTTAGCGAACATTTTTCGCTCCTTGACAGACATTCTCTGTGCCTCCTCGTTGGGCTCCCTACCTTGACTTCCTGTTCTAGTTAAATCTCCTTTTCTTCTAACTACTACCGAAAGAAGTACCTTCCTGACCCACTCTTGCCCCTGGCTTCCTAGCTCGTCGAGTTGCTTTAGCCAACTCAGTATGATGCTGGCTATTCTCGGTGATACGACAGGCTTCCACTACCTTGTTAAAAACTTTTAGCTGTCTCAAGGCTACCTTCTCTCTTAACTCAGGCTTTAGCCCCCTAATCATTTTCTCCGTAAACCAGTGCTTGTCATTCATGTGCTGGAGATAAGTGGAGTACCTGGATAACTTAATGTACCTTCCTAAGTACTCGTCAAAGGATTCATTCACTGCTTTCCTTGTAGTGAGGAACTCCGCTTCTTTCTTGTCCCTCACAGAGTGGGGAAAATATTTTAGGAAAGACTGATCCTTAAATACTTCCCATGTAACAGGGGTTTTGTTGGCCTGAAGGACCAACTCAGTGTTTTTCCACCATCTGTCTGCTTTCCTTCCAGTTTAGATATTACCATCTAAGCCTTCCTCTCAGACAGACATTCCAGGATAGGAAAGATCTTTTCTAGTTGGGTTATCCAATCCTCAGCAACTTGCATATTGTAACATCCTGAGTTTTATCGGGTTTTAATAGCCTCTTTTGGTTGATTTTGAGGATAGATTAGCAATTTAATCTTGATCTTAGTGTTTGGGTTGGATTTGAGGCATGTTGGAGGAATAGGTGAACATATCCCTCTCAGGGTATGTTCGCCGCGGCGCACCGGGAGTTCCAGGGGAGAGTATCCTTTCGAGAATGTTTCGCCGCGGCGAAGGTGAGGGCATGCCGCGGCGAAGTTCTTCTGGGCGAGCGAGAGTTTCCTCTCGGGAAGCTTTTGCCGCGGCGAAGATTGTAGTTCGCCCCAGGGAAGTCGGGTTTTTAGGCGAGTAATCCCTCTCGGGATTAGTTCGCCGCGGCAAAAGGTCCCGAATCTATATAGACGTTGGAGGGTTCAGTTGTACAAAAATTAGAAAATCTAAAGGAGGAGAGAGGAGCTCTGCTAGGGTTTCGGTGTTGAGGCTTGGGAAAGACATTTCTAAGGATCCATTACCTCAAGTAAGTGAATTTAACCTCTAATCTACTTTCTTTCTTGGAATTTCTGAGGATTTTTGGTGGAACCCTAGGATTTTCTAGGTTGTGATGGAATTGAGGTTTTTGACCGATTGTTTTGAGTTTAATTGATTGCTTTGGGTTAGTCTAAGTTTTTAATTGGTGTAGTTTCCTTGGATTTGAAGAACTTTGAGTTTTTGAAGCTAGGGTTTATGGAAATGGGAGGTTTGTGATTGAGGTTGACAATGTAGAGGTTGATTCTGAGTTTTGTGATTTGGGTTATGTTAAGGAGGGTTAAATTGGATGTTTAATCGGTTTAGATTGTTGTTAGAACTTCAATTGTTCAAATGGGATGTTTGGGTGTTGAATTCCTATAGTGGGTCCTTGAGGTTATGAATTTTAATTGATGTTTGGAAAGGAATTAAGGTTTTAATGGATTGGTATGACCATGGAGTGTTGCCTTGATAGTTATACCCTTTGAGTTGGGTAGAGTTTTGATGGGAGATAGGAATTTTGTGTCCCCAAGTGTTGTTTTGGCCACATTATTAGTTTGAAAGCTAATACATGATGGTTGTGTGTCTGTGTGCTTGTGTAGACCGGTTGTGAGTCTTGTTGGTGCGCGGGGCCACATTGTTGGTTTGTTGTTCCTTGCTCAGGCGAGAGGTAACCACTTTCCAATCCTTAGTACTTGCTTCTGTGGTATTGTGAGTAGATTTATGTTTTCTGCTCCAAGTAGTAATTATGTTCAAAGTGTATGTTGTGTATAAAAAGGAAAACCGTCTTGTGGGGTTTCGATTGATGATGAATGAATCTTGAAATTGTGAAGGATATGCCACTGAATGAAGTTACTTATGAAATGCTCAATTACTATTTGATTATGGTTTGAGCATGATGCATGAATTGGGAATTGGTGAGAGTTTTTGATAGTTACTACCACGTGGTAAGGCCTCCATTAATGCATGATGGTTGGCTCAATACGTCCCCCATAGTGAGGGATAGGCCTTTTGGCTCCTTACGTCCCCCAGAGTGAGGAATAGGCCTTTTATGGCTCCTTACGTCCCCCATAGTGAGGGATAGGCCGGCTTCGGCTCCTGAAAATCTCTCAAAGGGAGGGATATGGTTGATGAGATTGCATCTTTGCACTTGCATAACTTGTTGTGGCTATCTTGTTATCATATTACTTGTGAACTGCCCCACTTGACACCTCACGAGCACCTATTTAGTAGTACCTAGAATTGGAAAGGTTGGTTACTGGGACTTTGTCTCACCCCGTGGTTTACAATGTTTTCAGGTGAAGGTTCCGGGCGTGGCCCATCGGGAAGAGACGCAGAGGCTTGAGTTTGGTTAGCTTTAGGCCTCTAGCCTTTGTATATGTATGGCTAGTATATATTGCCACATTTAGGACTGCTTTTTGAAATATTTTGATTACCCGGCCTTATTGTAAATTGGAGAATATGTTATCTCCTCATTTTAGTTAGCCGGAGGCCATTTCTATTGTTTTATGAAACTCTGGATTATTTTGTTGGGAATCATTTAGATGGGCTGATGTGATGTCTGTTGTTACCCGGGCCGGAGGCTCGGAGGCCCCGTAGATGTAAATGAATGATTTCAGTTGCATGCAACAGACTTTGAGTTGGAACCGAGTTTACATGTTAATTCAAAATTATGCAATTCCTTCCTACTATGGTAGTTCATTTAACAGATTTCCTTTTCTACCATAGTAGTGATTTTGTGTTGAGTTATAATGTTTTGAGGTTAAGGGTTTTTACACATATCAAAAGTTCCCTCGAAAGCAGGACGGTTATGTTTACCAAACTTAACAATCCACTGCTGTATTATGTCAGGCTCTGTAGCAAATTAAGGTCTGCAGGAGCAGTTTCCTATGGTTACTGTGGTGGTATGGGCTGGGCTGTCCTGGCTATTCCTAGCCCAGACTGCTGTAATTGTGCTAATGCTACTACTACCACTGTAGCTATAGCAGTGTCCATCTTGTTCCTGCTTAACTTGTATGGCTTGTATCTCAACCATATTCCTTTATTGTTGCTCTAACCTTTCTATTATGCACTCAATTAGATCAACAGGGGGTCTTGACGACTCTCCCCTTGTACCAGGTCTCCTACCTTTTAATCCTCATCTTCCTCTTACCATTTTGTTGTTTTCGTCTCAACTACAAGAGGAATGGAATCACTAATTTACATAAACACTATTTGTATTACCTTTTCAGTTATATATACAACGGCACAACTAACAAAAGTAAGTTTACAGCCCACCACAGTTAGCATAGTATAAAGTCATCCTATATTTACAACCCAGTAGAGGAAGAGGAAAACAGAGTAACTACAAAAAGTTTTAAGTCGTCTAGCAACTCATCAAAATCACTGGGCATAGAGGATTTGTAAAGCTACCAAATCTAAGTCTGCCAAACTTGGGCAGTAGGTAATGTCTCTAGTAACACCCGGTACCATAAGGTGTCATCTACATACTGACCCTTTTCTACTACTTCATTATGCAGTAACCTCAAGTAATAGAAGTAGTCCTGGTAGACCGTAACGTACCAATTCTGGGTAGGATCTATGTGTCTACCG